AAATGATGATAGAAAAGATATGCAAAAAAAAAACGAAAATAAAAGAACGAAGAAGGAAAGTGAAAGGAAAATAAAAAAAAAAAAGAAAAGTGATTATTTACCAATAAAGTATCCGAAAAAAAAAAAATAACAACCGGGAGATTTTTTTTTTTTTTCCCGTCTCCCAAATTTTTCATTTCTTCTGAAAATTTCAGGGAAGAAGAAAAATAAGAATAGAAATAAAATCCTAAAAAGTCCACTTATGTTACAGTTTTTCTATTTAAAGAAAAAATATATTCAAAAGTATTAAACTATTTTAGTTATTTCATGCTAAAATGAGAAAAAAAAAAGAAGAAAAATTGCATGAAAATTCACAAAAATTATCTCATTTAAAAAGTAATTAAATCAATTTTTTTGTTTTTTTTTGTTTTTTTTCAAGGACAATTGCTAATGGAAATGTTACATTAGAGAAAATGCGAGAACAAATGAGGTATTAAATGTTTTCATTTAAGGCGAAAAAAAAAAAAGAAAAAATCGCTTTTATTGAAATGAAAAAAAAAAAAAATAAACGAAACGAAAATGATAATCGCATTTTTGCATTCGAAAAATCAAAATTAAGATTTTTTGAAAAACCTTAAAATCATTTAATAAATTATGTAAAATATAGTAAAAATTACAGCATTTTGAAACTAATGGCAAACGAATGATGCATTTACAAATACAATATAATATTACAGGATTAACTAAATAATTAATAATTTACTAAATTCATTTAAGTTTTTCTTTCAAGCTTATCATTCGTTTCTGCTTCTCTAATATTAATAACTGTAGTTGTATCCAAAAATTTAATATACCTATAATAGAGTATTTCAGTAAAAATTCAAATAAATTCAATGGTTTAAACATTCAAATATGAAAAGTATCCTTTTCTTGAATATTCTGATATAAGTTTGAGTATTGTTGTATTAAAATTAAAAAATTAATGAAGAAAAAGAAAAGATGAAAATTTGAAGTAAATTTTGAATTTTATAATTAAACTATGGAAATATCTAATCTGCGCTGCAATTTTGAATATTCTAATATCGAAATTTTATTCGAAATAATTGTCACCTGCTATGATTTTTTTTTCTTCACTTGATAATTTAGCATAATTTTCGTAAATTTTTTCTCCAAATTAGCTAAAATAAATACATCGAATAAAAAATAATCAATTAATTTAATAAAAGTTCATCAAATAATATTTAAAACAATCAATACTATATAGCAAATAACATATCCCTCTAATAATTTCTAACTTTTTTTTTATCCATCTTTATTTCAATTTCATGCAAATAAGGTTTATTAATAATTTCAATATACCACTGAACATTGGATATATTCCCATTTATGTTAACCTACTTCCTCGTTAACCGAAATCATCATTATCATCACCAACATCATCCATTCCAGTGGAAAACCGGATCAACCTCATGCCATCACAATAATCACAAGCATTTGATGGTAAATAGAATTTCACATAACAATATACTTTCAATTGAAATTTTGCCACATATAACTATCTCATCCTGTTTCTTCTTTCTTATCTTCCCTATAATTCTCATCTTTTTTCCTTTTTTTTTCTATTGATGAAATTTTTTTTTTAAAAAACAAAACAATAAATACAAATAAATGTAATTTTAAAACAATAACTAAAAAAAAAAGATGCTTAACTTTGTTCATATATGTAGCAGAAAAATGAAATCTCAATTAATTTCACCTTTTTTTCCAGTCCCTTGTAAATAATTAAAGCTTTAAAAATTTCAAATACT